AACCATATTTTGGATTAATCGTGTATTGCAATTCAATCCTCTTAAAGAATGCTATGCCATAAATTGACAGTGTACAACTATAATCATTTGATACTAGATTAAAAAGCTTCACATAGCAGTGCATTTGGAAATGGTTCTGATCTATGTCAACAATAACAAAATATTTTTTGTGTGTTATTAACTAGAGAGTTTAACTTCAGATCTAACAGACACCAGTTAGTAGTATTGCAGAAAATTCAACGACTGTTTAGTAAGCTATGTATTATTGACACAAACAGCTCTTTCAAACAAACTTCAAGCAGAAATTCTGATTTCATTTCAACTGGGTGCACATATCTAACATAATAATGAAATATTTTGACACTTTATTCATTGAATAAATTAATTATTTCCCTGGGTGAACTGCCAAAAAAGTTCTGCAACCTTTATCTATTTCTGAAAGTTTAAAAAATATGTACTCAAACTTGATCTTAGCCATTCAGTGCAGCAACATAAGAGGAACCACAGAAGAAAAAATTTGGAAAGGGTAAGAGGGAAACTGTATAATTAGGAAAACTTTTGGAGAATAAATGTTATAAACAATCATATGGACAATATAATCTTTCTCCTGAGGCCACAAAACACCTCAGCACTATGAAATTAAATTTCTAGAAAAAGTGTCCAAAGTCCTATTGATTTTTTTATTTTTCCACAGTTTCAACAAATACCTTTCCTTCCTATTCACCTAAATGCATGAACAACCATCTTAGTACTTTAAGGGGTCAAATGCTGTGCAATTCAATCATTAACTCTTCTGTCAGATACTTTCACCTTCTGTTAATTAGACAGTCTTCTAACATATTCCTTACTCTCAAACTCCAGGAACTCTGAACTTTCTAGGCAGCTCAGCTACCTGATGTGTAGTTTCAGCTACTGCTCAGGCTCCAGTAAATGCTGTTAACAGGGAATCATTAGATACAGGGATCTTATGTTGCTAGATGACAAACCTGGTTTTAAGCATTAGAATGTTTTGCTTCTCATTAGAGAGCGCAATCCATATCCTGGTATTTACAAATTATCATCCCTGATTACCACTCCTGTAAGAAAGGATTTCTCTCTTAAACAACTTTTAATGCTTCACTTCTGTACTTAGATTTGATGTATTACCTGGATCCTTAGTTTAGCAGAATACTGACAGAAATAACTGAATGACACTTAATAAAAACTGAAAATGGAGCATATGACTTACATTTTTTACGTCATTTTCATGGTGAAAAATATATTCGAACAATGCCTGTCAGAAGAATATTTAAAAACATTGTCATATTTGAAGATTAAAATTGATAATATTATTTTAGACGAATACAGAATCTTGATTATGCTAGGCAGAAATTAATTCTTTGTGAAAGCAATCACATTCACGCATCACAATTGCTGACATTTACACTTAATTAAGACTTGAATAGACAAAAAGTATAGATGCACTACATTGTCATTACAGGAAAGCATTTTAATTCTTAATTTGTTGTAAGAGATTAGTGGAATTCTCTCTTATCTTTGGTCCTTAAAGTCACTTAAAAAAAAAAAAAAGAAGAAGAAAAAAAAGGCAGCTGTAATTTGAAAGTGAATGTAGATTTGAAAACCCAGTACCATTTTCATGACTTTTTAACTGTAAAATCAGCAAGTGATCTAACGAAGACTTTTTGCAATGTATAGTTAGGTAGTTATGTAGTGCAAAATCTACTTAAATTAAGCATAGGTTTATTAAGAATGTAAACTGAGCAAATTTTGCCTTACGGACAAAAATTTCTAAATCCTACAGAATTTTGGGATCTGTAAAGGAAAAACTTTTTTATTTGTAAGTGACAAATGCTAACAATATCGCACTTATGGAACTCAAACACACCATCATAATACCAACGTTTAAAGAAGTAACATGCATCAACTGTGCTGCGGTAACTGCTGCTAAGCCCACAAAACCTGCACAGCAATATAACTGCATCTTTGTTTACTCCTGTATAAAGCTAAGCAAGTCATACTGCCTTGTAGCTGTTCTGCACTAGAATATAAAAATGTATTTAACAGGTAATGGGGGTGGCATTTTAAGTGAATAAAATGATGTTTAAAGATACTAGATAACTAAATGGAGACTGGAAGCCTCCATTCCCAGAAATGTAGTATGGGTGCTAGTGACACAAAGTTCAATTGAGTTGAACCTTGATCTTTTTCTGCATCCAATTCTCAGTTTTAATTGCTTCAAAAGAATAGAATGTTTTTCTAAATTCTTATTATTCATTACAAAAAGCTAAAAGAAAATATTGCCCCATGAGGAAAGAAAGAACAAGACAATAGTCTTCTAAGGGCTTCCATGACTCTTCTGCCAGCTTTTCTTAGACAAAGTTCTTAGAAAATTTACCTTAAGGAAACTAGAGAATTACTAATGAATTGTCATGTCTGGTGAGGAAAATAAACCACAATCTACTTTTCTTCTACTTTTGGTCAGAAAAGACTCTGAACAGATGACTGAAAGACATTAAAGCATTATAAATAAAACCACATTTATAGGGAGATTAGAATAGGTGGATAACAAAAGAATAGAAAATAAAGCAGCAGTGGAACATTTCCTCCTCTAGTTCAATAACAGGGAAGCATTCAGTAGAAGTGAGTAAATCTAAAGTGATAAAAAGATATTTTCTTGCATGGCTGGCATGAGGAATTTACTGCTGTTATCTGTAAGCCCTGACCTTCAAAAGGATTTAAATGACTGAACATTCACTTGCATAAAACTATCTAGAGTTATCTTAATAACTCTATTAAAAATCCACAAGCTAAAAAAGATAAAAATTCCTGTTTCATGCCATAAACCAGTTGCTAACTGAGATTTAACAGAGGCTCTCTCTGGTGACAGGTGATACCTCATATGTCTACTATGGGGGGGTTTCCTGCAATAGTCCTTAACATGGCTGATGCTAGTCAGAGAGAAGCCACATTCCTGTGTACTTCAAAACATCAGAAGACCTAATCATACAATGAAAAGGTAGATAATCTAACTTAAAAAAAATGCAATGAATATACTGTGCAAACACATAAAGAAGAAATATGTAGGAGGAATATGTACCAACATGAATACACAGGGTAATTATGTGAATTTAATAGTTGCAAGATTTATCATCTTTTTGCACCTGGAAGAGGTGACAGCTCAAAGAGTTTTAAAACTTTAATCAACGATTCTTAACACAGAATGTAGTCTGCGGTCTCACCTCCTGCTTTGGCTTTAGGCTTAATGCTGTCTTGTTTTAAAAAAAAGTTATAAATCCATGTAGCTCCAAATTTAAACTTAGATCTTACATTCTGTGTAAAATGTTAATGTCACAATGTATTATCCTGATAATACTGACAAGTACGCTTGCTGCCTATGGATGTTTCCATGACTGTTGCTTTACATTTTTTGGCTTAAGTCTCTCTTCTTATGAAACTGAAGGAAAGGAAAACAGAGCTACCCCATTGTCCCAGAAAATGCTAATTAAAATCCAAAATTGTTAAAAATATGTATTTCTCATGCCTGAGAGTTCTTGCTAAGAATAAATATTTCATTTGAAAAATAACCTACCTAATTAAATAGTATATAGCGTTACCAAACACAATTAAAAGCTAGATGTCTTCAAGGAGAAGAACTAAGCCTAGTTTCTCATGGATGTGTTTTGTGTTTCTTAATCCTTCCCTCTCTTCTGCCTATTTTACAGACTTTCATGGATTCAGAAATATGGACAAAATTGGACATAATTGGCCAAAAGGCCTGACAATTTTTCAGAATTGGAAAAAGAACTGACTCAGAACTACCCTCAGATGATAGTTTGGAAAACTTTCATTATCTTGTCAGACTAGAACTTAGTATATTTAATATCTATTCTTCTGCCTAGTTTAAGAGGCAAAGGGACAGAGATATAAGGAGCAGGTGAAGAACACAGTGCAATCACACAAAATTTATTTCCTCTGAAAACCACATTGAAAAGCAATGCCCTACAACAGTTTAGATCAGGTTTTAAAAAGCAAAGGAATTTGCTAATGCTTTATGAAAAATTATTAACTAAAGGTTTGGACTGGAGGAACTAATTTCCACCAGCAGATTATTAAGTACTGCTAGTCTTCCAACAGTGTTCACCATTATCTTTCTCACAATAGACTGAATACATGTGGGTTCTTTCAATTCTGGGTGACTAGCCAAATATAACTCCTCAGAGTGTGTCTGAAAGTCGTTTGATACCTTGTGCAAAATGAGCTGTTGGTGTCAGTCCAACAGTTGTTTTTTGTGAACAAAGTATGCACACAAAACATCATCATTTACGCAACTAACTGTTGTGCTGGAGAAAGATTCAACTGAAAGGCCACAGTATGATAAATCATTACACAACTTTTAGGTTCCTTCCACTCAGAGCTGAAACCCAGAAGCTGGACAGATAACCTGGATAAACCTGTTCTATCAGCAGATAGTCTCAAGTTTCAGTGGCTGTCAATCATAAGATCTTAACTGAAAATGAAGAATTCTGAACAAAAAACCAAAATGTTTTAATATAAAAATTGTTAATTCATGCCATAAAATCAAAGGGAAAAGTCCAAACCATTTGACCATTTTTAGGCCATGATTGCCATCTATTTGTACACAGAACCGCATTTCCGCACACTAAGGAGGGTTCTGCTGGTTGTTTTTCCTCCTGGCTTTTTTTTTTTCTCTAGTTGCTCTTCATTACTCCTATATGCGCAGTTCAATGTTATTTACCAATGGAATATTTTATTCTATGCACATGTTTTTCCTAGGTTATACTTTCAACATAACCTCTTCAGGCATATTTTCAATTTCAGGTCTGGTAACCACTGTCAAAAGATAAGTAACACAATATTTTTCTGAACTTTCCATCTACAACACAGTTCATCATTGTTTGTATCCCCAATCCCATGTACATTAGAATGATGCCAGAAAATAAGAAAAAGATATCACAACATTAACCAAAATATTTACATACCTTTGCCAGTTTGGGTTTTTGAGCATATTTTGCTAAATTCAGTCGAGACAGATTTATGAAAGGGCCATCTGGATTTGTCAGCATTGAAGCCTGAAGGGGAGAAATAAGTTTTTAAGTGGGAAGATCCCCTACACTTTTCCTGAAAATTTTCAAAATATTAGTAGTATACAAAAAACCGAAACCAAACCAAAACCCAAACAAAGCATTTGTAGATGCATTGCTCTACACTGCAGTACAGACTCTTCTTACTGAATTTCATCTCCTCTGAAAGCCAGGAGTTTGTCCTGCTCCCATACAGTCCCTGAAAGAGGCTGCATGAATTACCTTCCAGAACTACCTTTTTCTTCCCTCTCTCCACTATTGCCATAATGTGTCTAAGCATGTAGCTTGGACTGTTAGAAGGACTGAAGGTAGTTGGGATTCATAACAAAAAAAATCTTCAAGAAAGATCAGTCCATACATGCAATAGTGAGAAGCTATCACATTTTGCCATTAACATGATATTAATCTGTATTACATATTCATGCCAATTGCAGTTTATTAATTTTGTCAATAGAACAGGGTAAAACTAGTATAGTTTATTTTCCTTATCTTCTGAAGGTTGCATCCTTCGTTAATTTGGGTGATTCTTACTGTAATACCATTGATACAGCATATAGCAATTAGAGTAGTGATGACATACAATGGCAGGGTTATTTAGCAATTAACATTATACAATTTAAATCACTGGTTATTCTCACCCAAAATCAATTCCCCTTGAGGTATACATCAGACTTGCCCATCCTTCCGCATCACCCACCAAGTGCACCCAGGTCCCTGAGCAAAAGCAATCCCATGGATTCAGCTTTTGCCTCAAGTAGGGCTAACCCAGACTGTCTTGCCCAACATATTCCTCATGTGCACTACAGGGACTTTATCTCGTCCTACAGTACGTAAAAGTTTTGACAGGGCAGGGCCAGCTCAATTGACAGACACCCTAGTGTTAACTAACCAGGTGGGCTTTGCTAAATGTGTCTCCCAATGTTTGAAGGTCCCACCACTCATTGCCCTCAGTGTAGTTTTTAGCAGTCCATTGTATTGTTCGATTTTCCCGGAGGCTGGTGCATGACAGGGGATGTGATACACCCACTCAATGCCATGCTCTTTGGCCCAGGTGTCTATGAGGTTGTTCCAGAAATGAGTCCTGTTGTCTGACTCAATTCTTTCTAGGGTGCCATGTTGCCACAGGACTTGTTCTTCCTGGCCCAGGACAGCATTCCAGGTGGTGGCATGGGGCATGGGATATGTTTCCAGCCACCCAGTGGTTGCTTCCACCACATAGTGCGTTCCTTGGTGGGTTTGTGGGAGTATGATATAATCAATCTGCCAGGCCTCCCCATATTTGTATTTCAGCCATTGTCCTCCATACCACAGAGACTTTAACGACTTGGTTTGCTTGATTGCAGTGCGTGTTTCACATTCATGGATAACCTGTGAAATAGCATCCATGGTCAAGTCATGCCTCAATCCTGAGCCCATCTACATGTTGCATCTCTTCCTTGATGGCCTGAGGTGTCATGTGCCCACCAAGCTACAATTAAGTCACCCTTATGCTGCCAGTTCGAATCCACCTCAGCCACTTCAGTCTTAGCACCCTGATCCACCCGTTGCTTGTTTTGATGTTCCTCAGTGGCCTAGCTCTTGGGTATGTGGGCATCTATGTGACGTACTTTTACAATTAAGTTCGTTAGCCGGGCAGCAATATCTTGCCATAATTCAGCAGCCCAGATGGGTTTGCCTCTGTGCTGTCAGTTGCTCTGCTCCCACGGCTGTAACAACCCCACAGGGCATTGGCCACCATCCATGAGTCAGTGTACAGATAGAGCACTGGCCACTTTTCTCCCTCAGCAAAGTCTAAAGCCAGCTGGATGGCTTTCACCTCTGCAAACTGACTCGATTCATCTTCTTCAGCAGCTTCTGCGACTCATCGTGTAGGACTCTGCACAGTAGCCTTCCACCTTCGATGTGTTTCCGCAATGCAACAGGACCCATCAGTGAACAGGGCATACTGCTTCTCATTTTCTGGTAGTTTATTTATTCTGGTATTATTCTATTAGTGGGGTACCTTCAGCACACATCACCTCCTCCTCTGGCGACATTCCAAAATCTTTGCCTTCTGGCCAGTCCGTGGTCACTTCCAGAATTCCTGGGTGACTGAGGTTTCCTATTTGAGCCCACTGTGTGATCAGCACGACCTACTTACTCCACATAGCATCAGTTGCATGATGTGTAGAGGGGATCCTCCTTTTGGACATCCAGCCCAACACTGGCAATCAGGGTGCCAAGGAGGAGCTGTGCTCCAGAACCAACCATCTTCAAAGCAGCCCGATCCCCTTCATATGCTGCCAATATCTCTTTTTCAGATGGAGTATAGCAGGCCTTGGATCCTCCGTATCCCAGACTCCAAAACCCCAGGGGCTGACCTTGAGTTTCCCCTGGTGCTTTCTGCCAGAGACTTCACGTAGAGTCATTCTCCCCAGCTGCAGTGTAGAGCACATTTCAGTCCTGCCCAGACTGGCCCAAGGGCTACTGCACGAACTATTTCCTTTTTAATTTGTTCAAAGGCTTGTTGTTGCTCAGGGCTGCATTTGAAATAGTTCTTCTTCCAGGCCACCTGATAGAGAGGGCTTAAAATCCGACTGTAATTTGGAATATGCATCCTCCAAAAACCCACAATGCCTAAGAAAGCTTGAGTTTCTTTTTTGCTAATTGGTGGAGACACAGCTGCTATTTTGTGGATCACATCCATTGGGATCTGATGGTGTCCATCTGACCATTTTATTCATAAAAACAGGTTCTCCTGTGCAGGTCCTGTTAAAGGGTGATCGAGTCTTGCTTATTGAGATCAGCTTATGGATGGGAACCAGGGAGTCTTGGTTGATGCAATATTGTCACCAGTGCACTGTTGTGGTAACAATCGGCACCTGTTGTTTTTCGACCCTCAGCAATCCCACAGCAGAAGGATCCTTTGAGAGACCAGGCAAGGTAGACAGTTGTTCAGTTTCCTCTGTCTCCAAGGCAGCTATGCCAAAAGCCCACCGGTACCCTTCTGGGTCCTTGAAATACCCTCTACTGAGGTAGTCTATGCCAAGGATGCATGGAGACTCTGGGCCAGTCACAATGGGGTGCTGTTGCCACTCATTCCCAGTTAGACTCACTTTGGCCTCCAGTACAGTCAACTAGGATCCCCGTGTCACTCCAGAAATAGAGATGGGTTCTGTCCCTTCACAGTTTGATGGCATTAAAGTACACTGTGCACCAGTGTCCACTAAAGCCTTGTACTCTTGTGGATCTGGCATGCCAGGCCATCGAATCCACACACTGCAATAAACCCGGTTGTCCTGTTCCTCCACCTGGCTGGAGGCAAGGCCCCTCTAATCCTGGTCATCATATTCACTACTAATTTCTTGTGAAAATGATTTAGAAGTCCTTCCAGAGGATCACAAGTAAGATCAGGCTTTCCACTCAGTCTGAGGAACTGGAGTGGCGTTTTTCCTGGAAGAATCCCCTTTTGTGATTGTTTTTCCTTGAACTCATGTACTTGTGCCTGTAAGGTCGAGGTAGGTTTTCCATCCCACTTCCTCATATCCTCTCCGTGGTCATACAAGTAAAATCACATACGTGGTGTGTACCCTCTGTATCATCTCTCTTGAGCAGAGAAATGCTTACTCCTAACAGCTGAGATACTGGTTCATACAGGTGGGGAATAGGACATATTCTTTTCAAGTTGCTGGACCATCTGGGACAGTTTCTCCACAGCTGGTGCCTCTTTGCCTTTCCAGTCCATTACTGCCAATGAGTTGGTGTACAACAATGGTGTGCTCCGTACAAACTTCCACCACATGGACTGGGCACATTGGACTTCATCAGGATCTGTGGGTAACTGCGTGTTGTCCGGATCATAATAAACCATGTCCTGCACGGCTAATTTCCTCGGGTACTGGATACCTCTCTCTGTGATGGTCCACATCATCTTCACTGAAGGGATACCTTTCCCTCACACGTCACAGAAGTCGCCTCCAGAGGCCGAGGGCTTGTGTCTTTTTCCCAATTGCCTTGTCAATGCCCCCTTCCCTAGACAGGGATCCCAGCTGCTTGGCTTCCCTACCCTGTAATTCCAGGCTACTGGCCCCGCTATCCCATCAATGGAGCAACCAGGCAACAATGTAGTTGCCTAGATGGCGGCTGAAATCTTTTCACATATCTTGCATCTCACTCAGGGACAGGGATTGGGTGATTACCTTTGGTTCTGCCTCTTCCATCTGTTCTTGGGATGGTCCTGGTTCATTGTCGTCCCTTACTAAGTGAACTGATTTCTTTGTGTATTTCTTCTTCTGTATAGGGGTGACTGACACCGGCATAGGTTGTTTTTTGGTTCAGCTGCAGTGCTTGTCATTGGGGTTTGAGTAGCATCAGCACCTGTCACCAAGGTTGGAGTAGCCACAGTGCCTGTCAATGTTTTCCATCTCCTTCCCCTGAGGGTGCTGCCTACTATCGAGCAGTGTTTGGTAGATACTGGCCAGGGCCCAGCACAGTGCAGCAAATTGTGCCTCTTGGGAACAGCTACAGCATTTTCCTTACAAATATTTTATCACTTTGTCAGGGTTCTGTAGTTGTTCAGGAGTGAAGTTCCAAACCATTGGAGGTGAGAAGTTCTCTAGATACCTGCCCATATTCTCCCACATGCCATGTCACCCATGACTACCCAGCGTCAGAGCAGATCTCTTGTTGGTATTCTTACAGCAATTTTTTTGTAACCCTAAACAAGACCTGGAACACATTCAGGAGACATGGCAACAAGAGCATGCTGGCTTGAACATCCCAAGGGTATTAAAAATTCTCAAAGGCTGCTGTAACCAGCCTGAAGGAAAAAGGAGGTGAAAGAATGGGAGAAATCCACTGCTGTCTTCCCCATCAATTGGGTGCGATTATTAATCAATTCTGAGAGACATCATCAGAGGTACGGACATGACAGCAATGCCACATACAAATACCAGCTTAACCTCATGACCAGTGATGTTATCAGATCATAAGTCAATATTACACACTATAGCAAAACGAGAATCCTGACCCCTCTCCCAGAAGTGATAAACAGCACCGCAGGGAATACAGAGCAAGTATGAGTTTACATAACACAACCATGTGAACAAACAAAACACCATTGTGACCAGCAACTACTTACCTAATATAATAAATGCTTATAAAAACTTTGTTTTAACACACTCTGGTCAGATCTGTTGTTATCTCAACCCTTCATGCCCCATGTTGGATGCTGAAAAGGATTGTTGTGGTTTAGCCCCAGCTGGCAGCTGAACACCATGCAACTGCTTGCTCACTCCTCCTCCCTCAATGGGATGAGGAGAAGAATCAGAAGAAAACGTAAAACCGATGAGTTGGGATAAGGACAGTTTACTGGGACAGCAAAGGAAAAAGAAAGTACTTATAAAAACAACAGTACTTATAAATGAATATACAAAGTGGGTGATACACAATGCAATTTGTTCACCGCCCAGAGCCAGATGCCCAGACCCTCCCCAAGAAACAACTGCTTGTCCCCAGCCAGCCTCCCCTTTATAGCCCCTTATATGCAGAGCATGACATCATGGTATTGAATATTCCTTTGGTTAGTTTGGGTCAGCTGTCCTGGCTGTGTCCCGTCTCAGCTTCTTGTGAAAATTAACTCTATCGTCACTGAAATCCAGGACAAACTCTACTTTGAAAACAATTTACACAAAAAATTAAAAATGCTCACCTCCTTCAAACTTGAGTTTAGATACAGCTTTTAAGTCAACTACAATGTCACTGTACCAGATATTATGACCAAGAAAGCCATTGTTCTGAGAGCAGCGCCAAACAACTTACCGTTCCTAGCCTGACATATCTCCCAGAAGCACTAGTAATGGGACGAGCTGTGAGAGCTGTTCGAGGTGTTTTTATAGCCTGTTCCATAGTACTTGGCCGCCCACTTTGTGTGCTGGGTCTCACAAATCCTGTAATAGGTCTTCCTGATTGAGTTACTGGCCTGAAGATGTTAAGCACATTATCCTTATGTTGAGTGGCATTATTAACAGAGAATTTAAACACTTATATATGAAGCATTTCATTTTCAGAAGTTAAATTTAGGATTTGCTCATTTGTCATATTTTTAAAAAATAAAGAGTCACATACCTAACAGCTGGACTGGGGCCTGCACCTTGGCTAGTTCCAGGGAGTTTCAAAGATGTTCCTGGTCCTATAAAATAAGAGCATTTCTCACTTCACATTAAGATACTACACCCTTGTCCAGGGGACTTTAAAAAATGATTGTGTCTTACAATACACTGGAAATTTCTTTGTTAAAATTGAGGGGACATAGCACTAGACAAAGAAGACAAAACCCAAACATTACACTGTATTACTGATAAATTGTCAGACTATTGCAAAAACCTGCCACAATGAATATGACATTACTTTTACCCTTCCTATTCTCTCCCTCATCCCACTTAGTGGGAGGCGTGAGTGAGCGGCTGTGTGAGACTTAGCTACCTACTGGGGTTAACCCACAACAATTCTCAAGAATGTCTTAGAAGCAACAGATAGCATTGAAGTAAGAAAGGTAACTGTAACAATGAGATCATGCTAATTTGAAATGGTGTATTTTCAATCTAGGACTAAAATAGCACCCATAATGGAGTAAGTAACCCAAAACCTTCAGCTACAGAGCAGATGGAGAATGGTATCTCATGTCATGAGACCCATGTAGGAACCCCACCCACAATTTAAGGCACAGTAAAGTTCAAACTCATCAATATCCAAAGGTCGTCAATGAAAATACTGAATTGGCTTTAGCCCAGGTGAACGGTCACCCTTTTCACATATTTCTATTTTGACAGTGGATCATTAAGAATTACTAGTTCCTGCATTTAGATTTTCCATCACCTTCACTGACATTTGAGTACAGTCAGTTTTTCCAACCTCCTAAGTGAATGTCTAACAGATGGTTTTGAAAACTTGGTTAAAAGCAAGACATGACATCTATGCCTTCTGGGGTGTCCGGTGCTTGTTACCGTGAACAGAAAGAAATGAGATTTGACACAGCCAGTTCTTTACAAGTCACTGTTACTCATCTACTTACCTTCTAGACACTTATGAACTGCTTTTATTCCAAATGTTTCCAAGAACTGAAGTTAAACTGACAGGTAGTTTCCTTCCTTCTTTTCTTCCCCAAGATAAACCCCAAGTTTGTTCTTTTTCAGTCTTCTCTTTCTCCTGCCCTCAAGCTGTAATTACCTCTGTGATACTACCAGTCTACTGTTTAATCAAGTTAGTAGACTTGTCCAAATTGGTAACTTCTAACTCAATCTAAATACCTTCTAGCTTTTTTAATCCATGCTGATACCAAGTATCTCTGACTCCAGTATTTAGTAGCCACCTGGCTACAGCTGTATTTAAAGTTAAATAATACAAAAAAGGTATTAACCATGATCTCCTTGGTAAAACCAACTAAATATGGAAGTGTTGTTAAAATAAGGACCACAACTCAGGATTCTCTCTCTTCTGGCTAGCTGCGCTTAGGATCTCTGTTGCTTAGTTGCTCTTTATAGTGCTATGAATCTTTAATTTTTTACTCCACAACAGGAAGGCTAGACAGTCCACCCAGCAGTTTCTAACATGGTAACTAAGGCGGTCTTCTGAGAAATAAAGTGGCTTACAACTTTTCAGGCTAGCAGACAATGAATTAGTCTTCCACTTTCTGAGCCCCTTTTTTAACTATCGGAATAATATTAAAAAGGTACGGCATTAAAATCCCTTTTCCAGACATGTTTTTTAATAACTACTATTGTTTTGAACTTTTGGTGCACTGGGAGAATGCTTACAGGATTTAGTTCCCTTGATCTCACTCCAGGCAACTCAGTCCTTACTTTGAGAATCCCAACTGAACTAGCTATGAATAGGTATCAAGTGGCCACAGCAGTGCACGTGGCCACTAACAGCGACAGAATTTAAGACCATAATTTCAGCAGTTAGTGATGATTGCAGATGACTCCTTTAACTCCCTAGTTAATTAAATAGCTGTGATTATCCATAATGCCAATTAGTATGTGTTTCTGAAAAATATGTTGTCAAGGTATCATTTTTAAACAAGTTTACAACCTTAGCTGATAAAATTGATGGTGTTAAGAGTCCACAGGTAACATACAGGGAATTTTCTGTAAAATGAAGCTATAGGACATTTTTACTAATAAACAAGACTGATAGAAAATTAACACAGCAAAATTATAAAAATTTAAAAACTGGTGGAAGACAGATTTCATTATATATGTGTGAAAAGGAACCACAGAAAAGTAGTTGTTTCCAGTGGACCCTAGACAATTTAGTAATTATTTAATAATGCAAGACCGAGAGCAAAATCATTATTAAGACAGTTTAACCTGGAAACTAAAATAAGGACAGATGCAAAATTGAAATTGACATGTAACTGATGCAAAAGGATTTGAACTGCTTAGTAAGCGAAGTACAGACAATACCAGTTGTAATATGGGAGCTATGACTACACATTTTTAAGTTTGTAAGCTATAATTATAGTGGGGGAGGATATCCTCGAAGATTTACCACAGTAAAAAACCCTGAGTCAAGACCAACTAAAACACTGTAACATCAAAAGAAAAAGTCCACAGTCAGCAAGCACCCGTTTTTATTGTGTAAAAGTGGAAATGATCACAGAATCACAGAATGGCTGAGGTTGGAAGGGACCTCTGGAGGTCGCCTGGTCCAACCAGGTTCAAGCAGGGCCATCTACAGTCAGTTATCCAGGACCCTGTCTAGACAGTTTCTGAATATCTCTAAGGAGGGAGACTCCACAACCTGCCTGGGCAACCTGTGTCAGTGCTCAGTCACCTTCACAGTAAAAAAAAAATAAATATTTCCTGATGCTCAGACAGAGCCTCCTGTGTTTCAGTTTGTGCCCACTGCCTCTGGTCCTGTCACTGGGCACCACCACAAAGACTGGCTCCGTCCTCTTTGCACCCTCCCTAGTGATATCTGTGCTAATCTTTATGTAAAAAGTGTAACAGAAAAACACTTCAGATGTATAAAGAAAGTAAAATCAAGCTGTAGAAGAATAATGTATTTTCAATGTGTCAGTGGACCACTGTCTGGTTTGGTGACTGCAACTAAAATAGCAGGCTTGGAAAGGGTTAAGAAGAGAGTTTCAAGACTCAACTCAAAAATTCAAAGATATACCTTAGAATGAGAAGATTAAGTTACCAAAGAAAAGATCACTGGATTACTTAATCACAGCTTTAACTATTTACTTTGGAAATATAGCTTTGAAAATAAAAAACTTCATATCAGGCATAAAATGTACACAAAGAAGCAACAGCTGGAGCTATAGTTGATAATTCCCACTACAGATATGGCATACACTGATAAAAGCTAGCAAATTTAGTAATTTAGTAAAGACTGCAGGAGGTTCTTTTTCTCTGGAAAGTTCTTATACTTTCTGAAAAACTATATACTAGCTCAGGCACATCTAGTGGATTTGAAGCATGAATAGCAAAGTCTTATCTCAGTGATTCAGGAGTGCAGGCTACACTATCACAATGATTATCTTTGCTTTGAAATCTGTGACACGGTATCCAGAAAGTCACCTTTTTTCAGTTTAAATATAGTACGAATGTATTTTTTCAGAATGCCTTACTTCTCAACAATATTCATCAAATGATTTTTCTTGGCAGATGGTCTCTACCACAGGGGGCATAAAATCAAGTAAAAGTCTAAATTATTATGCTGTTTTAAGACAGATACATGTAATTAGATTATCATAATGTATAAACACAACTTGAGCACTGCTTGACTGTTTATATGTGACTAAGCATGAAATGAGAATTTTTAAAAAAGTAATCACATAGATATGTACTTGTCTACTTCTACCCAGATGAGAAAAGCTTTTAATGCTTCAAATATTAGTTTTGGCCTACGTCCAGTTCTTTCCATGAATTCCTTGACATGGTAGGTGGTTGAGAGCCACATCTAAGAAGATGCACAACAATTCACATGTGGACTGTATTAAAGAAACAGAGAAAAATAGAAATAATGCAAAAAAGTAGTGGAAGACTACTAATTACTGCCCACTTAGAAGGGAACTGATGAAGCTGAAAAGAGCTGCATACAAGAAACAATGACAGGGCTGAAGGACTGCCCTGGGAAGGAAGAGACCAAAAAGTAAAGAAAAGCAGAAGAGAGAAAATCAGTTCAGAAAATGTTTGCGGGAAATGATACAAAAAGGTGATGTCAGATTTGGCCAGACTGTTGCCTACAGTACAGACATATGGAGGAGATTCACAGTACATCACGGGCATATATTTTTCTCTAGTTTCCCACAGTGCCTAAAGAAGCCAGAAAGGAGTAAAAGTAATCAATGCACTGATGGAAAAGCGCTACTGAGTACAGACATGTAGAGGAAGAGCTGACAAAATACCATTTGTCTGAACTCCCATCTGACAGGCCTGAGCAGTACATCAAGATCATGTGGTGTATCTCAAAAGTGCCAGGCAACCATGAAACAATCGAAAACTCTTCTTGTAGCAATAGCTAAAAGCTGTATCAGGTCACCTCAGTATGTACTATTTTATGCTAGATGACAATACTGACCAAAAGACCTCTTGTTGCTTCCATGTATTTAAGTGAAAATCATTCTTACGTGCGACTTGAGCAATGGCATTTTCATCCAGCATCATCTCTGCGATTCCTTCTTGATCTATATCGATTTCATCCACATACACCATTTCTGTCAAAGCTCGTGTTTTCAGGCTCCAGGCAGCCTGCATAAGGATAAAGTAAAAAGTAAAATATCTTAAAGACACCAAGTAAATAATCTAATCAGCAATTTTACTATTTTTTTAATTATTAGTCCAGTCACAGTTTTAGTAGGCTTGAATAAGGTATTAACTTAAACAGCTGGGTATATCCATCAGTTGCCTGATGGAGGTGGAAAGGGCACCAAGACTTCTGGCGACTCTTTTGGAGTGGAACAGCTACAGTCACTGAGTTTGGAGCACAGAATTTCATGCCTCATGAGAAGTTATGACTAATTTAGGTCACCGGCAGCTCTCTGAGAGCTTGTGCTTTTGAACAAATCTGCAACTACCAGTGCCATTCAAAACCCACTGCTGACAGACACCTTATTTAAACTGGGATGGGAGAGGAAGGTAAATAAACCACTGTAATGCAAAGTAATGCCCTTCCCAGGCATCTGCAGAGAAAGAAGGAAAATGTTTCAACCAGCAGTTACAGTACAGTACACTACTATCCACAAGTGACAGTCTTTAGAAAGATAATCTAAAACTCCTTTGTTCAAAGCATCAGCTGTAAAAAATGTGCAATCTCAATGAAGCATCTCAAGATTGTGAGATTACTGGAGTACTGGTTAGAGAACTGAACTGACAACTTACTACATTAAATGTCTTGGAGGATTTTATGAGCAGTGTGGAAAAGCAAGCATAATTCTAGCCTATGTGACAAGCTTTGTGTAGACCGTAGAGACACCAAATCAATAGAAAAAAAACAGTGGCAGCCATACAGAAGTACCAACAAAATAAGTGCAGATCCAACCCCTTTGATAACTTAATATGCCTGTAATGTACTCATAGAGCCAGCATGATAAAGGGAGCCTCAAGACCAATCCCTGATCTTCCTTCAGATAGTGAACAGATCATCTTAAATTTTCCAGAATAAAAATCACTGCCAAAACAATTAGATTTGTTTCTTTTCTGACACGGGGTACAGCAGTCTGGTGGAAAAGCATGTTTAATATTTGCTAAGGAGACACTTCAAAATAGAAACAGACTGTTGCTACCTTAATGGAACTAAAGGTCAAACACATGGAAACGTTTGCTCTTTAAATAAAAGGTAGGAGAAGATCTGGACCTCAGGCTTATTTAATACTTTAAGTAATCATTTAATGGGACGCTTATCATTCATCATGTCTCAGACCATCGCTTCCTCTACCCTCCTCTCATAATTCTATGCAACTTTATTACTTTCTATCAAAAAGAAAGTATATCTGAAAACATTGAAATATTTAACTCTACTTTTTAAAAGTGCTTTCTTCCAAGCAGAAGGAGGGATTTAACCAGCCAATTCAACCACAATTAGAAACCTTTGTTCAAGTACGAAGAGAGAGGAACAGGGCAGGATGATTTGAATCTAGGCCAGACAGACATAATCCAGATCTGCTTTATTATCTTTTACTTTCTTCTTATGTAGTAGGGTGACAACCTTTAATTAGCATTGAGATTTGCAGTTAGATGTTCAACACCCTTAACTGTTTTTCATTATTCTATAGAAGTATTTAGTTTGTTGAATTTTTAACACTTTGATGGTAGTCTGCTTTTTTCAAAGACATGTATGTCTGAAGTCAACATAACAATGTCTACATTAGGAATATGCTGAAATTAGAGCTCTCAGCGTAGCCAAAACCAGGCTAATATCCTAGTAGAGATAAGAAAAGCTGCCCATAGTAATGATCTTTTCCTGGGAATTGAAAGTAGCAACTTCTCTACACTAATTGCTAAAACTGGGGCCAGTTCTTAACATAGACATAAGTATATCATTGTGATTTTTCCAATAACAAACATGAGATAATGTGTTTTTAAAAGCAACATGTCTCTTCGTCGTTATTGGACAAATATCTGTCATAAAAAATAGATTCCTTACGTTGTTCTTCCAGTCTTAAGCTCCTAGTCTGAGGCTTCACAGCCAACAAAAAAATTCAAATATTGCATGTTACTCCTTAATTAAACATCAGACTGTAGATTAGAGTACTGCCTGCAGCAACGTTTGTTACAGGACTTCTGATCAAAACAGCAAGAGAGAAAAATGTCAAATTCATTACTTAAACTATAGAAAGATGACCTTTACCTTGGGAGGCAAGAAGACAATTCAAAATTCCTAACTATAAGACCCGTATGAAACAACAGTATCATTTCTATGCATGCATGCAGTTATGCTGAAGATCTGAAAAATCAAGGCGTGGGAAAAGGAATTAGAAATGTATACTGACACACAAACACAAAGCGAGATGTAGGAAAAAGATCTTTTCAAAAGAATTAAATGACATTTCTGATACCCTTTCCATTCATAAAAATTTTGCTACTTATTCATAAAGTCACATAGGACTTCGTAAGAACTACAGCATATGTTTATTGTCTTACTTTTTAAAAGAAAACCTGAGAGATGTACATTTCTCTTTTAAAACAGAACCTCCCAAAAAAAAATTCTGGTTTTTTTTCATAAAGGTGCCTTTTATCACATGAGATGTAAAACTCATGCAAGGTTCAAAGATTTTTTGCTGACTTTCTACAAAGAATTTGTACCAGTAGTCCCGGTATTTCCTATAGCTGCTTTATCCTTGTATGAAGCCTACTTTCTGTGTTGCAGTTTTTAGTTATCCAGAAAAATGTTAACAATTCTGTTCGTAAGAAAGTACACAGTGCTAGTAATTTACTAAAGTATAATGCACAGATTTTTCACTCAGTGAAAACCTGTAAGGGTTTAATCTGAAACTAATGCAGAACTCCAGCTGAAAAACTTCGTTAAAATAGCAGCACAAAACTGGAAGAATCACATTGCCAACAGTGAGGCCACTTATAATCACAAAAAGCCATAAAAATAAATGCACACATTTCTGAGTAACCACATGACAATATTATTCACGCTTCGACTTACCACAAGTTTGTCTACTCAAACTGTTGCCTCAGATTCCATTTATACTATCTGCTCTCTCTTTGTGGGATCGACAATTTTGTTTTGTGACAAGCAACATGTCTGGTGTTTATGAAGACAACTTGCATTTTTATGAAATGGGCACTTAAACAAGAAAGGGACAGCTCATTTCAGACAACCCACATATTCACAACATAATCAGAACAGAACCTTACATTAACTAATAGTAATTAAAGAAGGAAGCAATATCTTAAGTACTGTAAGTACAGAAATGTGATACAGTATTTCTTTAGAAGTCTAAACTACAGAAAGAAAAGTAACAAAGCATTTTTCACTCGGTTCCTGAGAACTGGTTTGTCACTGAAATGAGTATCTTCCTCTTGTTCCTGAGAAGTCCAAAAAGCAAACTAAAAAAAGATAAACTTAAAATCTAAATCTATTTTCTGAATCTCGTAATGCACATTTCTAAGAGGTTTCATTCTGCAATAATCCTTCCCATTATCATAAAATTTATTCCATACACAATGAAAACCCTAGAACACAACAACTACCTTGTGAAGCATAATCTTTAAAGTCAAGAAGATATGTGGCAGTATTTCACTGAAACCATTTTGTATGCAAACAACTTGCACGACTTCATTGGAATGTAATCAGAGACTTGTAAAATATGTTACTGAGCTGTATTTAAGGATGAGGTTTCACGTTGCATTTAATCTCTTCTGACCGTGAGCTGGAGCCAAAAGATGATACCACCAGCACACTGCAGTAATCTAGTGCTAATGTGGACAGAGTGAAAACTAAGCAATTACTCTCAGTCTTCCATCACCATGCAGCTTCAAGACTACCAGACTTTACACAAGGTAGGCGGTGAGAATGAGCTGTAGGAGCAGGAAGGGCATGGGTAACAGCCCACCATTACACTCCACTAAATGAAACATGAAAGTGAGCCTAAGAGCATGAACATTGTTCTGTCTGTGAAATACACACTGGCTTTTTCCTAATCTCATCAGTAGATGAAGGTCATTCACTTAAAGATAAATTCAATTTGGCTTTTAGAAGGCACTAAGCTACTGAACTGCTAAATGTACCTATAGGAAATATATGAGAGAAATAAACTTCTATCAAATGTAAAAGCAGCCTATTTAAAATATCCCTCATGAAATATACTGCCTTACCAACAATGAAAAGCAAATCAATGCCATTAAGGATTTAACAACAAAACAAGTATTATTCAGTGTATTAGAAATTCTCCCTAATGATTGTATCTAATAATTGTATTTATGAAAAGAATTTTACCTGAAACACAGTGTATTCAGAATCAGGCTGCTCCTGAAAAGAGAGGAAATAGAAATTAAAAATAGGAAATGCCAAACAATAAAAAGAACCATCAAAAATGGAATTATACTCTATGACCACCTCATGTTGCGCAAACATTTTCTCTGACACATATATCCAAATTTCCATTTTATTACATTATCTCAACTTACATTATAGAGCTAATCAATGTTTTACACAATGAAAGCAGATTTGCAGTAAGTACATTTTTCAAATACTTTTTGCTTTCTTGCTTCTGTTAGATCATATTGGCCAAATCTTAGAGTAACATTACAGAATTATTAAACTGAAAAATGGTACATTAAAAAAAAAAAAGAAAAACTTAGGAGATGTAAACAAATCTCTCAAAAATTTCTGCAGGTATAATTTTTTTTTTTTGTACCTTTATGTTGGAAATGATGTATTATATTCTGGACAGTAATGCTGGAAGTGCAATAAAAGTCAAACTAATGGCTTATTGCACCACCCAATAAACAAAAGAAAAACTACCAGATGAAGTTTACTCCAAGCCAAAAAGCAGCAACTGTCATCTGCTTGAAAACTTGAGGTAAAAGTAAGTAAATACTAACAAATGTAAGTCTATCATCAGTTATTGTGTAATTATCATGTTCATATAATATTTAAACCGTCCTTCAGGGCTTCTGCTACTCACTTCCAGGGACTAGGAAAGAATTTTTCCTCTCTAATGTATTACTTAGCTTTAGGGGGAAAGGCAAGGAAGGTGGGAGATAGATGTTACTTTCTCTAAATTGCTATTAGTATTTTGTAGAGTCAGATCCTTTCTGCCCCTAGAGGCAGTGGAAAATTTCTTACCTATATGACCTTGTGTAAATCACAGTTAAGCCAGCTATATTAGCCTGAATATAGAAATTTAGAGTAATTCAGACTAGAAAAAGACTTCAGGAAGCCTCTAGTCCAAACCCCTGCTCAAAGCGACATCAGCTATGAGATCAGCTGAGGTTGCTCAGAGCTCTGTCCAGGTGGGTCTTGAAAACTTCCAAGGGTGGAGACTGCACAATGCCCCTGTGCAACCTGCTCCACTGCCTGACTGTCCTCACGGAGAAATGGTTTTCCTTATATCAAGGCAACGCCTCCTTCATTTCAATTTATGTTTGCTGTATCTCACTACGTGCACCACTGTGAGGGGCCTAGCTCCGTCTTCTTGATAAACCTCCTTGTATGCATTAGAAGGTTGCTATTAGATCACACCCATGTCTTCTCCAAGGTGAAGCACTTCCCAGGATGCTGTTAGCTTCCCTTGCAGCCAGGGCACACTACTGGCTCATGTTTCACCGAAAGAATGGCAAGGTCAAGCTCGCTCTTTTCCTCTCTAGTATGAGACGTGGTCTACTCCTTTCCATGTGAGCGTTTTCACTCAGTAAATTCCACGACAGCAGGGACCTGGAAGACTGGTGATGCTCTCACATTTTCCTTCTGTAGTGTACTGGAAATTCTGTGGTCTTTTAAGGATCATATTTGGAATCACAATGCATTCACCGGTCTTAGAATGCATAACATGGCTTATAAATTGAGTAATCTGTGGAACTAAATGTTAATCGAGGGATTAATCTCAGCTGTCTGTGATGTACTTGGGCTTGACTAAGGTGCCGAAACTGGTATGATTAAATGAACTCCCAGTTCTTTTAATATGTTGTTTTATTTATAGTATCCAACTTCTAAAAAATAAACTGTTGTAGCTTTCTAAGTAATAAAGAAAAGGACATTGAGATATTTGAGCTTGTGTTTTATTCACCCCATTGTTTCCCAGTGTTACAGCACATATGGTGTACTAGAAAATGGTTTAAGAGCAGTAGGTGATCTTCCATACCATATGTGCTACAGTAACTAATGAGGACAAGGTTAACATTACATCAACACTAACTCAAATACGCCTTGATGTTACAGATGTGTATCTTACTTTAGGCACTGTTCATTAGTTTAAAAAATAATTTTAGAATAAAACAAATGTAGGACCATTCATATTACTAAAAAAAAAAATATCAGAAGTTACATCCCTCATCACGTTGAAAAAAAAGTAGAGTTGACCAATAATACTAAAAACACTGCGCTCTCGTAATGGTAGGTGACAGTATGCATTATTCATACATCCTAATATATTATTTCAGTTTTTCACTAGAAGTAACTTAAGATTTTAAATAACCCTCGAGCAGGTGATAGAACTCTCCCATTAAACACAAGTCTGGAACAACAAAAACTAGTATTAAAATATAATATATTTTAATATGGGTGGATCCAGCAGTTGCTACTCATGAAAGTAATCCACTGGAACTAGATTCTGAATAAAGATTTATTTGAGAGGATTAACAAATAGCATTGCCCTGTAAGCTTGTATCTCAAAACAAAAGGTCAAATTTATTCTTCATTTACACATATAGAGCTCCTTTGAAATTAATAAGATTGTAAAACCAATGAAGGAAGGATTTAACCCAGATCTCTAAACACACTGAGGGCATTTTAAAATTAAAGTTAATGTGTAAAGTCAGTTTATCTGAAGACCAAAAATATTTAGAAAAATTAAGTCTTCTGATGCTTATAGCCTAGAAGAGGGAATGAAACAATTCTAATATTCTAATAAAGCTTCATTCTACCATTAATGTCAGGTGAGTATGATTTAATATATTGAGGATATTAAAATTAGTATATTCTTAAAATGCTCTTCAAATGATTAAGAGTAGAAACACAGAAAAAACATTATCCAGGAACAATGACTTCACTGTATGCATCACTAATTTTTATGCATAAACTTAATAATTACAGTCTCTTGAACCGATAACTGACTTCAGTTGAAGACGCTTTTTCAAATCAAGTTCCGTGTACATAAAAATATCCATGATAACTTTATTATGACCTTATGAAAACAGTATGCAAGTAATAGTAGCTGAAAGTTCATCGTGGGAGAAGAAAGGACAAATGAACAAAAGCAAATCCTCATAGCAGACCATTAATCAAGTTAAAGGGAGGACATCCACTGTATGTCTAGTAATTACATTAGGCTATTTTATTTTATTTATTGTTAAACTACAGCAGGCCTCATACATCAGTGCTGGTTGCCTTGAATCTGACATATGGAACACAAAGAAGAGTAATCAGATTAGGTAACTAATCAGGATGATCAACAGAGACAGCCCTGGATTGTATTTCCTCTAGGTCATGTTATTACTATAAACATAGAAGACAACCCTGTTTGCTTAAAATAGGAAATAATTAAACTGAACATCAGTGCTCTTTGTGTTTGTATGTCCAAATGCTAGTCATAGAAAATATAGCTTTTATTTATCCTAAGAGTGTCAGCACAGAAGTAAATTCCATCAACAAAATTTATATTCCTAATTCTTAAATGAAGAAATACACAGGACTTTTTATAGAAAAAAATACTTCAGTCTTCCATAAAATTTAACTCTGTAACATCTAATTATTCTTCTATCAAAACGTTCAGCACATTTTATTAATTAAGAACTCTTCAGGAAAACATAATTGATTTTAAAATATTTTGATTTCACTGATGTGTTAAGAATTCAAGCGTATAATGGCATAGCATTTGATACTGCCATGTAAGAAAATTCCTGACTCATGCCAGGTCAACACTATACCTTAAAAACCTTGGAGAACTTACCACATCTGGTGACAGAGTTCAAAGAGAACTACACTTATTAAGATAGCTTCTAAATGTATGTACATGTAACTACTGATTGGATCATCAGTAAACTTACTTTTGAGACCTTCACATCATCTTTTACCATGTTCTTAAAGGCAAACCTCTTAAACATTATTATACTTGTGATGAAAACATATTCTGAATATTAAGCTGTACGTACAGGAAGTGGCAAATTAAGAAATATATCAAGATGTATTAGGAAAATTTCTTATTACATTTAGAAGTGTGACTGGCAAAAATTCCTACTTCTAAGGTTATTGTAGAAAGCTGATTTCAGCTGCCTATATTTTTGTGACAGTGTTGTGGGTGCAATAGAGCAGGAGTGGTGTGATCATTTAGCAGACCAGCTGACAGCTGGGTAGAATGGACAGGCTTTTAGACAAGCAAGGTCATCTCTTTCAGGCATGAAAACACTCCCAGATATGCACTGTTAGTCTGTTCCTTTACTTACTTATTGTTACATTACATGTCTTAGAAGGGAGAAGGCTAGTGGCCTGAGCGTGAAAAAGTTCTGACCTGTAACAGTCACAGTTTAACAGCATCTCTTGAAAGGACACCATCTCCTGTGGCTGGTTTATATCATATCCTAACTCATGCTCTTCAAAGACGTGAATCCCTGAACAGCGACTGAGGCTGCTGTTCTTCTAAGATCCTTCTTTCCCTGGCTGCAGAGGTTTGGAGGTACATGCTTAGCAGAATAGGGGACAAGAGGATGACAACAGATGGCACAGTGATTACAGTAGTGGAGTATTCCCTTGTGCTGCACAGCAGCTCACTTAATCCAAACTTTCCCTAAGTGTTGGTATTTGTCTTTTCGCTTTCCTGGTGCCCAACATGACATATCGTGGGCCAGAAGTGCTCCCATTAAGAGTTTGACTATTAAATGTTTTAGAATTGCTATGTGTCTTTTAAGCATAATAAATTACATATATTGGGTTAGGTACCAAAAATTATACATAATTAATTTTAGATATTTCTCCAGGTTATACTAAAATACTACTAATGTAATTCACACAGATGGAAGACAGAACCATTTTCTGATAGGTGGCTGAAGAAGACAGAAATAAAGTTGCATCAAAAGATTTAAGAACTACTGATTTCATTAATATGCCACCTTCAAAAGTAACACAGATTTCAGGAATCAACAGTCAATCTGCCTGAGAATGATCTTGGATTCTTAATTAATGTAAAAAACCAAAAAGTAATCTTAGATCACTTTTCTAGTATTCACAACTACAGCAGCTTAACTGATATGCTACTATTAGAATAAATACAGAATGATGTAAAATAGTATTAGACTAGGCAAGCCAGGAGAATTAAGTAATGTATGTCATTTATTTGAGTTCTAATTACCTCAGTGTTCAGCCTTGGAGTTTAGTATCTTTAAAAGGTTTTATAAAAAGAATGGTTCTATTAAATGCAAAGTATACATGCTGCAGTACATAAACGTGACTTGCTTTTTCATTCTGTTGTATTAAGTAGGTTCAAAATAGTTTGTAAGGTTTCAACTACATATAAACCACATTCTTGAGGCACCTTACTATTTCCTTTACTCTATGCCTGAAATCTAGCAGGGCAAATGTGACAGATTGGCTCCTGAAAGCAGTGTCAGAAAGTAATGACACTTGTTGAAAGCACAACAACATAAGTAGGGAAAACACCTGCAAGGTCCTTACAAATAAGAAGTATAATAATAAAATATAGACTGACTTGGACAGATAACAAGTAAATATTAAGATTTTGTGTTGATTACAATAAAAAGTGTAAAATCTAAACCATCATGAGCACAGTTGACTGAAGAATAGAAATGCCATTCCATGATAAGTCTGCTATGAATGTTAAAGCTCTATTTTAACTAGATAATTGGAAAATGTTTTACTTTAAGAGATTTCAAGTGTAAGATTTTGTATGTTGAATTGCTTTGAGTTTGGTTCAATTTGCACTCTATAAAGTTATTTAACTGATATTCTAGTTTCTCCAACCTGCTGTACCAAAATAAACAGGTGGTATAAATAATGCTACATCCTCTCCTGTCAGGAGCTGTGCTCTTTTTATGGACTAACAGAGAGGAATGACAGAAGAAAGCTGTGTAGCCATTACATTATACACCATGAAGTACTGTATACTCCATGATCCTTCTGAAGAAACATGCTGAATTGCCACTTAATAACCACCTCTCCATTTATTTTATTAAAAAAAAAAATTCTACACTGTTATTCCACTTACATAAAGTACTTATATAGAGCAAAATCCACTTCCTGGTGTCTCTAAATTTGCGATGTGCTTTACTCAAACACTGCTCCACAAAATCTCTTTTCAGAGAAAGACTGAAACATTGTTCCATGCACTTTTAAAATGTTAAAGAGGAAGACTGATACTTTCCAAGCTAAAGTAGACACGTTTTTAAATATTTTTAGAAGTCATTAATTCCTGCTTAAGAAGAGCTCCTAATAAGGATTCCTCAAGAAGATTATGTGGGGCAGGAGCCAAACTAACCATATTTCAAGTTTGCCTCTACACAAAGCAAAGACATTTCTCTTCTATCTAAACTTTCAGGTAGGTTTGAAATATGTTGCTGATGAAGAGTACCTTTTTCACATAGAACTGTTCTGAAACAAACATACTGAAGTTATAAAGTCCAGTCCTTTGCAGGCAACCATGACCTGGAAGTCTTTTGAAAACACTGATGAAACTCGATCTTAAAATTCAAAGACTTCATAGGACCTCTTCTAAGAGCTTGTAATTTTATGTAGCATAGACACCATTCATATCCCAGTCCTCCACTGTTTCTCAAAGCATAATATCTTAAATGTTTCCACTTTCATTAGATGAAGCTTATAGGCTGGTGCGATCATTTCAAAGATTAAATTAAGTGATCGATTGTTTGTCCCAACTTTATATAGTATTTGGAAAAACACTCATATTGCTGGTATGTAAGGTCCTGGTTCTCCAAGGAGAATGTGTAGCTTTATCTAAGAAAACAATTTCATTTATATACTTAAATGTTTGCTGCATGTGTGATCAATATCTGGAAGAAAGAAAGAAAATTAAATGGGACCTACATCCTCTCATTGCTGTTTTGCTATTTTCCTCCTAAACATTTTTCCCAGCCATGTGCACCTTCTATTCCTTACACCACTTCTGTCAGCTGCTGCTGTCTTCAACAAGTTCCCCAGCGCTACTGGAAACAGCCCAGCAGAAGTCTGGAGCTGCCAGGTGTAACAAAACAATTTCATACTTGAGCTTCAGCAAACAGTAGAAATACAGCTGTCTTTATACTTCCAGGTTGAGATCGCAGACTGGAAAACATTTTACTAATTAAAAAAAATTATAAATGAATAGCAACAGAAGCGCTATGATCTTTACAACTCTTATTTACTGTTTTTATCTGTACTGTCTCAAGAGTTTCTACCACAAATCAAGTGCTGTACTTCCATACGCAAAGATTATATGTATCAAGACCCAATAATGTAAATACACATAAATGATACGGGACTTGCACAGAACTAATAATCCCATATAGTGTTCAGGACCAATTTTCTGGTAATGTCTTCTCTGCTAAAAATTTTTCTGCTGATGGCTCCTTGCTGCTGACTTACAGTATATAACATAAATAAAATAATATTTTAAATATCTATCCTAAACCAGTTTAAACAATTATTGTGCTTTATATTCACACAATTGTGTGATTGTGCAGCTTTCTTTAAAGACTTTTCCTTTGTGATGAAAAGAACTGCTTTCAAGATTCTTAAAATATGTAGCTATAGGATATTTTGAGAGACTTATCTACTGTAAAATATTTATACTGAAGATAAAGTCCATTCAATTACTATTTTCCAAATATTATGCAGTATGTATGCAGTAAAAATGTTTACATGCATACAAATATTAATCCAGAAACAAGATTCTCAAATCCTTCCTTCTTACAGAAGGGTAAAAAAATATGTAGGTATTGAACAACACATGCCCAACATTTCCACAGACTTTGCAGCTGGAGAAAGAGCAGAGAGGAATGGAAACATCTTCTGTCCCATGGTAATAGTTGTACATAAGCAGAGCTAAAATGGGTGTCTCTTAACCTTATCAGGTTTTGTCCATACAGCAACTGTTACATCTGAACATCTGTGTAACATCAACAGCAATATCCTTAAGCAGACCTGATTTTTAGTCTTGACTTTTTTTCCTTCAACTCCGCAAAATCTTGAGTCACAGTTCTCGCTGAGGGGAGTCCTGGGACCTCACTACGGTCACGGTTTCATTCCCAGCAGCACAGCGTACCTGTTGCACTACGCCCCTCTCCTTCCTCGGCCGGTGCTGGAGGGCTACTACCAGGGCGTGTCTGAGGAGGAGCCGGCAGCCCCGCACTCACCGCCTCCAGTTTCAGGACAGACTTGGGGAGCTCGGTGAGAAGACGCTGCCTGGCACCCCTCCTCCTCGCGGAGCACGGCCCGGCCCAGCTCGGCCCGCTAACGGGAGGTCACACCGGGCCTCTCTGGCGGCTACAACAGGTAGCGAGGGAGTTCTGTGCTGCTCGGCCTGTCAGGCGTCCGGGCAGCTGAGGACGCGGGGCCGCGGCTCGCTGCCG